TCCTCCTCAGAGAAGACCAGAAGGTCTTCTTTTCAGAAAAGACCAGAAGGTCTTCTTTTCAGAAAAGACCAGAAGTCTTCTTCTCAGAGAAGAACAGAAGCCTTCTTCTCAGAGACGACAATAAGGTCTTCTTTTCAGAGAAGACCAGAAAGTCTCCTTCTCAGAGAAGACAAGAAGGTTTTATTCTCAGAGAAGACCAGAAATCTTCTTCTTCTCAGAGACCAGAAGGTCTGCTTCTCAGAGAAAACCAGAAAGTCTTCTTCTTAGAGAAGACAAGAAGGTATTCTTCTCATTTTTAAACATTTTTTCAATCAACATCCTGAGGTCAATAGGCGTGGAGAAGACCAGAAGGTCTTCTTCTCAAAGAAGACCAGAAGGTCTTCTTCTCAGAGAAGACCAGAAGGTCTTCTTCTCAGTGAAGACCAGAAGGTCTTCTTCTCAGTGAAGACCAGAAGGTCTTCTTCTCAGTGAAGACCAGAAGGTCTTCTTTTCAGAGAAGACCAGAAGGTCTTCTTCTCATTTTTAAATTTTTTTCCAAACAACATCCTGAGGTCAATAGGCGTGGAGAAGACCAGAAGGTCTTCTTCTCAGAGAAGACCAAAGGTCTTCTTCTCAGAGAAGACCAAAGGTCTTCTTCTCAGAGAAGACCAAAAGGTCTTCTTCTTAGAGAAGATCTTCTTCTCAGGGAAGACCAGAAGGTCTTCTTAGAGAAGACCAGAAGATTTTCTTCTCAGAGAAGACCAAAAGGTCCTCTTCTCAGAGTAGACCAGAAGATCTTTTTAAATATTTTAGAAAAACAACAAAACTAATTTACCTCCAATTTGGTTAAAAACTTCCGAACTGGCAACACTCGAAGGGGGATTCAAGTAGATGTGATCCATTGTTCTATTGGTCCAACGTACACACACACACATACGACCCCCCCAAAAAAAAAAAAAAAACTAAACACACACGCACCCATTCGCAGGCCCATACACCCACACATTCACAAATAGAAATTAATTTCAAAAATAAATGTTAAATCAAAATATGTAAAGCTTTTGTGATTTATTTTGGGGTTTTGTTGTTGCTGTTGCAGTTGCAGTTTCAGTTCTAGTTGTTTTTCCTTCCCTATTTTACATATGCGGAGAATAATGCGTGCTCTTGCCTGCCATCCACAATGCAAAACAAACAATCACCCCCTCCCCTAAATCGTAAATCCTGAACAAAAGGGAGAAAAAATCACTGATCACAATTTTCATTTTCCTGGTTAAAATATCAACATTTTCCATTGTTTGCAAATTCATGCGGCTGAAAAATTCATAATTTTCTTTTTATAATTGGAAAATTTTTAGCGTCGACACTGCAATTTATTGTGTTTCGTCTGTAATGGTAGATTTTGTATGCATATGTCATATTCCGTCCAATCGTAAGTAAATAATTCGAATCCATTCGTTTTGCAAGCGAAAACCACACCGACATGTGGTGTGGTCCAGGACATGAAATGTGATCAAAAAATTGGAATTTGTATTAGTTGAAGAAAATATTTGAGTATTTCAATATTTTTAAAAATTTGCATCGGACTTATAAGCGTGGATTTATAATTAATTTTAAAATTCATATCTGGCATTGATTTTTTAAATTCAGGGTGAGATGAAAAAACTGCAACCAACTTCATACTGCTGTCATTTCTAACCCAGCTGTTAAAATCATTCCAGTGACAGCTTATTATATTGTTTACAAGCGTACAAAAGCATTTTGGTGAGAATTTTCCAGAAAAAACGTTATTCGTGATGGAATTCAAGCGTGATTGTGTCATTTCTTTATATTTGGCTGGAAAGTGGCTATTGTTAGAGCTCTCCAGCTTGCTTCCAATGTGAATAAATCTTTTGTGTCTCGTACCATTCATGGTAGAAAAATACAGGTAGATGCATAAACGCTTGGGAGCATTGATATGTCAAAAAAATTTAAATTTCTTTTCAAATATTAGTAGATTTTTATATGTTTTCTTATATAACGTCATTCGGAGGATATTATAATACTCGTTTTTCAACAATTTTTACAAATTTATATAATTTTTTATTCAACATTTTCAATTGCAAATTTGGTTTGACAGTTCATTGTCCCAGCAGCTGCTTCGATGCGTCTACCTATATTCTTCTACCATGGTACCATCGCTCGTTACCGTGATACTGGTAGCGTAGCCCGACGTCAAGCAAGTGGACGGAAGAAAACAGCAACATCAGCAGAAATGGTTCGAAAAGTAAAGAAGCGACTTGATCGAAATCTGCGTCGCAGTGGCCGAAAAATGGCTCGTGAACTGAACATATCGCAATATTCCATTCGGCAAATATTGAAAAATGAGCTCGGCGTAAAGCCATTAAAATTCGAAAAAAGTGCAAGAACTTACACCGCAATAGAAAGAACATAGACTCCAAAGAGGTAAAGAGTTGTTTCGCTTGGCCGAAAGTGGTGAACTGCCGAATTAGGTTTTCTCCGATGAGAAAACATTCGTTGTCCAGCAATTTGTAAATAAACAAAACGATGGTGTTTACTTGCCAAAGAGGTCAGCTGAAAATGTTTACCTTCGTTTGGCCACCAGAACTCAAGCGCCGGCCATGGTGATAGTGTGGGCCGCCATAACAGCCGATGGTCGCTTTCCGCTCGTATTAATCGACCGTGGCATCAGAATAAATGCCGAATATTATCATGAAAAAATTCTGGAGGGTGCCTTGGGCACGCAAACATTTTGGCCATTCCAACAGGACTCAGCACCATCGCACTCAGCACGCGCCACCCAGAAAGGGTAACAAAATGAGGTTGCTCGCTGCATTTCCAGCGCACAATGACCACCAAAATCTCCGGAGACCGATCCGTTGGACTATTGTATCTGGAGTATTTTGGAAAGCAAGGTTGGCACTAAAAAATACTAAAGTCTCGATCACCTTACTTCGCCGGGAATCGGTAAAAATACCCCAGAGCAACATTCGGACAGTGTGTGACGGTTTCATTGGCAGTGAAGGCCATAATTCGTGCCAAAGGTGACCAATTCGACCACATCTAAACTTATTCTAAAATTTGATGCTATTTCCGACATTTTTTGCTATCACTCAATAAAATGCAAACAAGTAAAAAAGCTGTAAGTTCGACCGGGCCGAACTTTGAATACCCTCAATAAAATAAAATCCGTTAAAAATTCTGTTATAATCTTAAAAATGCAGAATATAGCCGTATATTAGGGTCTATACGATGACGTGGACCTGAATAGGCAACCTTTTTCACAAGCTATTAGAATATTCAAATGCGAAATTTAAAAAAAAAAAACTATTTATAATGTAGCTAAAATCATCAAAATACCGAATATAGGGAGGTACCATGGGGGCTATACGAAGACGTGGACCTGCACAAACGATTTTCTGTCATAGACTGTAGCATACATTACGAACTTCAAATACTAAATTTGAAATAGTTTCGGTAAATAATGTCTCTAAAATCATCAAAATATCCAATATCGGGAGGTACCGGGGCTATACGAAGACCTGGGCCCACATGGCTTATTTTCTGTTTTATGCTGTAGTATCTGTTACGAACTTCAAATACCAAATTTGAAACAATTCCGGTAAATAATGTCGCTAAAATCATTAATATACCGAATATCGGGAGGTGCCGTTATATGGGGGCTATACGAAGACGTGGACCTACATGGCCCATTTTCTGTCTTAAGCCGTAGTATCTATTACGAACTTTAAATACCAATTTTGAAACAATTTGGTAAATAATGTCGCTAAAATCTTCAGAATATTTATGTATTTGTATGTATTTGTTGTTTTGAGAAATAAAAACAAAATATTTTGAAAATCAATGACTTGAAGAAACTTAAATTGCGGGGTGCGCATTAATAATATTAACCAGATTTGCCATGTAATTGAAAGATTGAACACTTAGGGTGGAAATACAAAAAGCGCATATTAGGTTGGCTTAAGTGATCGGCTGGCTTCTTCGTAGATGAACAAAGGAGTTTTAGGTTGACTTAGTTCGATTTTGGTCCTAGGCTCCTTTGTTCATTTCCGAAGAAGCCAGCTGATGACTTAAGCCACCAAATATGCGCTTTATGTATTTCCACCCTTAGGATCATATTTTTGAGAGAACATCCAGGCATTTCATTCATCTTTCGCGCTATTTGAATCATTTTAGAAATTAACAAAAAGTGCCAAATTAGTGCCAAATATCATTATATATTATTACTTTCTGAAGGTTTAAAGTCAAGTCGGAAGCTATATCGATTTTTTTATATTCATATTGAATATTAAAAAAATAAATAGATATTCCCAAAGATCTGTAAATTAATGTGTTTTTTTTTTTTTAATTTATAAGCCAACGGGTCTGAGTCATGTTTTTATTTTATAAATTTTATTGTGTTTATATAAATTTGAAGTTCTTAAAATTAAACAATATTTTTAAAAATGAACATAATCAAATTCTATATGTTACCATCATAAATTATGGTATGCGCTTATCATATCTTCATAAACAAATTATCAACCAACGATTTTTACTCGTATTACGGCAAATCTACTATTAATATTTTATTATTTTTTTAATTTCCGTGAAAGGATTGTAATCTTCACCAAAATTTAAAAAAAAAAATAATTTTTTTTATACATTTCATAGTTTTTAAGAGAAATTTACTTCTTCTTCTAATTGCCTTTTTATTAAGGTTCCTGAATTAATAATAGGAAATTGTTCATATGGAGTTCAAATAATAGTTCAAGTCGACTAACATTTTCATTGGAAAACGAAGATTTTTTTGCAGTGAGCGATTAAATAATATAAATTATTGTCGTACTTTTTGTACTGTGAATTATGTCAATGGATTCTTCTTTGACACTCGTCCCTTGTTTCAATCAGTGAATACATACATTTTGAACACTGAGATAGAGCTGTATACGACACTCGTTCCTTATTTTCCACCGGGGAACAAACAGCTGTTGCGGCTTGTTTGTGTACAGTGTACACCGAAAATACAGCGTGCCGCCGTCAATTGTTTTACACCTGATAAGACGCCGACAAAATCGTTCCGCTTCGTCGTCTGAACACGAGAGGTGAAGAAATATTTTTTAACAATTGTTACAAAAATTAATATAATAATTCTATTCTCAGATCTAGTGGAAATCAATTTACTAAGGTCTAAAGCTGTCATATTATTGGTGTAAGATCCGAGGAGTAATATTATCAACAGGAACTTCGTAGCATTGCTACCATCAGACAAACGTTGCAAATCGTTTAATGCTAAAGCAGCTCCGGGGAGAGAAAAAGTACACTAAAAATTGAATTATTTGTAATTTTTATTGACAAAAATGGATAACATACCTAGGACACATGAAGGTAAGACGTATAGTAACACCTTCGTATATAATGAACTTAATTTTCCACCAATTTCCCCCACAGACATTGAGGCACAAATTGCCGACATACAATCGAAGAAGAAGGAGGTACAGAAAAATGCCAGCGATGGCGTTAGCCTTTTGGCCTCTGGAAACTTTTATGATACAGAATTCTATGACGAAGGAGGAAAAAGTAAAAATCGTTATGAGGGCTATAATACCTCAATTGCCGCCAATGATGATGTTGATGAGGACGAAGATGAAGGTTTGCCGGTGCAACAGAAACGTGTGGCCTATACGGCTCCCAAGTCGGTGATGAAAGACATCATGCAGGTAAATTTGACGATTAAGAATCTGAAAGCATTGGATAATTATTCATTATATCTTACACAGAGTACCGAAGATGTGGATCCCTTGGCGGATCGTCGACGACCCACCATTGCGGATCGAGAGGATGAATATAAACAAAAACGTCGCCGCATTATAATTTCACCCGAACGTGCTGATCCATTTGCTGATGGTGGTAAAACACCTGATGTAGGTTCTAGAACCTATACGGATATTATGAAAGAGCAAATGTTGAAGGGGGAAGAAAGTGAACTGCGAAGGAAAATTATGGAAAAATCAAAGGATGGTACATTGCTAAAGACTGTGCCTGATCCACCCAAAGAGGGTGGCCGTAAACGTGGTCGTTGGGATCAAACTGTAAGTGACAGTTTTGTGCCGGCCAAGGTGGCAGCTACACCAAGCAGTGCGGCTACTCCTACTTGGGAAGAGGTAAGTGGGATGCAATTTAATTATAGTAATCCAAATTTAATGCTTGCATTTACTTTACAGAAAACTCCCGCCGATCATCGTTGGGATGAGACACCTGCCCATAAGACGGGCAGTGAAACGCCTGGAGCTACACCAGGTTTGGGTACCCGCATGTGGGACGCCACACCAGCCCATAGCATGACACCGGGTCATGAAACTCCAGGCCATGAAAAATCTGTGCGCCGTAATCGTTGGGATGAAACACCAAAAACTGAGAGGGAAACTCCCGGACACAGTGGTTGGGCAGAAACCCCAAAACCAGATAGAGGTATTAGCGATAATGTTGTGGTAGAATCGACTCCAGGAGCTTCTAAACGAAGATCGAGATGGGATGAAACACCATCGAATGCTACACCCACAGCAATGACACCAAGCATGACTCCCAGTATGACACCTCATGCCACTCCTGGCCATGCCACACCTTTGCTGACACCTGGTGGTACAACACCAATTGGCGTTAAGGCAATGGCCATGCAAACACCCACCCCAGGAGCCCTGGCTGCCATGACACCAGAACAGTTGCAAGCCTATCGTTGGGAAAAGGAAATTGATGAACGTAACCGACCCTTCACTGATGAGGAGTTGGATCAAATGTTCCCACCGGGATATAAGATTTTACCTCCTCCCGCTGGTTATGTACCCTTACGTACACCAGGACGTAAATTGATGGCTACCCCAACACCCATTGCTGGTACTCCTGCTGGCTTCTTTATACAGGTTGAAGATAAAAATGCAAAATTTATGGATAATCAGCCAAAGGGTCAGAATTTGCCATTTATGAAACCAGAAGATGCTCAATATTTCGATAAACTCTTGGTGGATGTCGATGAGGATACCTTGTCACCGGAAGAGATAAAGGAACGTAAAATAATGAAGTTGCTGTTGACCATTAAGAACGGGTCACCACCCATGCGTAAATCTGCCTTGAGGCAAATTACCGATAAAGCACGTGAATTTGGTGCCGGTCCTTTGTTCAATCAAATTCTGCCATTGCTTATGTCGCCCACATTGGAAGATCAGGAACGTCATTTACTGGTAAAGGTTATTGATCGCGTTTTATATAAACTGGATGATTTGGTGCGTCCATATGTCCACAAGATTTTGGTCGTTATTGAACCCTTGCTGATCGATGAAGATTACTATGCTCGTGTTGAGGGTCGTGAAATTATTTCCAATCTGGCTAAGGCCGCCGGTTTGGCTACTATGATTTCCACCATGCGTCCCGATATTGATAACATTGATGAATACGTACGCAATACAACGGCAAGAGCTTTCGCTGTGGTTGCATCCGCTTTGGGAATACCTTCGCTGTTGCCTTTCTTAAAGGCTGTTTGTAAATCAAAAAAGTCATGGCAGGCTCGCCACACTGGTATTAAGATTGTCCAACAAATTGCCATTTTGATGGGCTGTGCCATCTTGCCACACTTAAAGGCTTTGGTTGAAATCATTGAACATGGTTTGGTGGATGAACAGCAGAAGGTGCGCACCATTACTGCTTTGGCTATTGCTGCTCTGGCTGAAGCTGCCACTCCATATGGTATTGAATCCTTTGATTCTGTACTCAAACCCTTGTGGAAGGGTATTCGTACACATCGTGGTAAAGGTTTGGCCGCCTTCTTGAAGGCCATTGGTTATCTCATTCCCTTGATGGATGCCGAATATGCCAACTATTATACACGTGAAGTAATGTTGATTTTGATTCGTGAGTTCCAGTCGCCCGATGAGGAAATGAAAAAGATTGTCTTGAAGGTAGTCAAGCAATGTTGTGCCACTGATGGTGTGGAGGCCCAGTACATTAAGGAAGAGATTTTGCCACATTTCTTCAAATTCTTCTGGAATCATAGAATGGCTTTGGATCGTCGTAATTATCGGCAATTGGTCGATACCACTGTGGAGATTGCCAATAAAGTGGGTGCCTCGGAAATTATCAATCGCATTGTGGACGATTTGAAGGATGAAAATGAACAGTACAGGAAAATGGTAATGGAAACCATTGAGAAGATTATGGGTAACTTGGGTGCCGCAGATATTGATTCCCGACTGGAGGAACAGTTAATTGATGGCATTCTCTATGCCTTCCAAGAACAAACCACCGAAGATGTGGTCATGTTGAACGGCTTTGGTACCATTGTCAATCAACTGGGCAAGAGAGTGAAGCCTTATTTGCCACAAATCTGTGGTACAATTTTGTGGCGTTTGAACAACAAATCGGCCAAGGTGCGTCAACAGGCAGCTGATTTAATTTCCCGTATTGCTGTGGTCATGAAAACGTGTCAGGAAGAAAAACTGATGGGCCATTTGGGTGTGGTACTCTACGAGTACTTGGGTGAAGAATATCCCGAGGTGTTGGGTAGTATCTTGGGTGCCTTAAAGGCAATTGTCAATGTTATTGGTATGACCAAAATGACACCACCCATCAAGGATCTTTTGCCCAGACTTACACCGATTCTCAAGAATCGTCATGAAAAAGTACAAGAGAATTGTATTGATCTGGTGGGACGTATAGCCGATAGAGGTCCCGAATATGTTTCGGCTCGTGAATGGATGCGTATTTGCTTTGAGTTGTTGGAATTGCTAAAGGCCCACAAGAAGGCCATTCGTCGTGCAACTGTCAATACATTTGGTTACATTGCCAAGGCCATTGGTCCCCATGATGTCTTGGCCACTCTGCTCAATAATCTTAAGGTCCAAGAAAGACAAAATCGTGTGTGTACCACGGTAGCCATTGCCATCGTTGCGGAAACCTGTCGGCCTTTTACCGTACTCCCTGCCCTAATGAATGAATATCGTGTCCCTGAATTAAATGTCCAAAATGGTGTACTCAAATCCCTGTCTTTCCTCTTTGAATATATCGGCGAAATGGGTAAAGATTACATCTACGCTGTATGCCCGTTGCTGGAAGATGCCCTGATGGATCGCGATTTGGTACATCGTCAAACTGCCTGTGCTGCCATTAAACACATGTCACTGGGTGTTTATGGCTTTGGCTGTGAAGATGCATTGGTCCATTTGCTGAACTACGTTTGGCCCAACATTTTCGAGACATCACCACATTTAGTGCAAGCCTTCATGGATGCCGTCGAGGGTCTGCGCGTCTCTTTGGGACCCATCAAAATTTTACAATACACCCTACAGGGTCTGTTTCATCCGGCCCGCAAAGTGCGCGACGTTTACTGGAAGATTTATAATTCCCTATACATTGGTGGACAAGATGCTTTAATTGCTGGCTATCCACGTATCACAAATGATCCCAAAAATCAATATGAACGTTATGAATTAGACTATACGCTATAAAATCCAGGTTTTTTTAATTTTCTTAGACTTTAGCTTTACATTTTAAAGACACGTAATTGATGTTTCATTTATATATTTTACAAGAAGAATTTAAAAATGGAAATACACACACCCACAACAATATTTAGAATATTTATGACGAATATTGGGACAAAGAAAAACAATGGATTTTTTTATTGGTAATCGTGGAGGAAAAAAGAAATTAATTAAAAATGGAGACTGCTAACTAACACCTATGTAGCGAAGAAGATATCACTTTACAATTTTAGCGATGATGATATCGGAAAGGTGTGGCTAAAAGGTGATTCAGAAGGGGGTCTACTATCCACACATAACATTTAAAATTGGGATAATTGATGACCATTACCAAACTTACAGTAATGGGGCAGTAGCTTGAGGGCGGTACCGGTTTTTGTTTAAGGATTCACAACTACACGAATTCGCCAACTTGTTCACTCCAAGACCATTGGTCTATTGTGTTCATCCTAGGAAGAAATAACATTTTAGTGACAGGAGGGATATAGAAGCCAGTAGGGGAAGAACAAATGTACCGAGAAAAGTGTAGTTAGGATGGTCTGCCTAGCCAGGGAATGTCTTTGGCAAGCTTGCAAATGATGATCTAAAATGCGAAGTAAGTATTCAACCACAACTGGGTAAGATTTGAATTTTTTAATTCAAATAGCAGGAAAGTAAATAAACTCATTGACGAACTAAGTATGCTGAAATACAGGCAATACCTTTTGAGTGGGAGCTTTATCAGGATTTGGAATAAAATTGGATTTTGTTGCAAACCTCTGGATCCTTTAGTTAATTTTGCGAAATATGGCATCTTCAACTTTCTCCAACTTTTTCTTCATTGACTTCGTTCAAAGGGTTCCCGATCTTTGTCGAGCACCAAAAGACCAATAAACGTGGATTATTTAAAGAATATTTTTTCAAATTACACCAATAATTTTATTGTATTTTCTCCAAGGACCAATACACCAAAGATCCTGGATTTTTTCCGAATATTTTTCAAAGAATCAAAAGACTAATAACTGTGGATTTTAAGGAATATTTTTTTCAAAGGATCGACAGACCAATAAACGTGGAAGTTTTAGAAATATTTTTTAAGAGTATTTTCCCAAGCACCAGCAGTCCAATAAATGTGGATTTTTTAAGAATATTTTCCCAAGGACGAGCAGACCAATAAATGTGGATTTTTAAGCATATTTTTCCAAGGACAAGCAGACTAATGAACCTGATTTTTTTCGAATATGATTCCAAGGAACATCAGACCAATGAACGTAGATTTTTTAAAAATGGTTTTCAAACGAACTGGATTTTTTAAGAATATTTTTCCAAGGACCAGCAGATTAATAAACGTGGATTTTTGAAAAATATTTTTCCAAGGATCAGCAGAACAATGAACGTGGATTTTTTAAGAATGGTTTTCAAATGACCTTGATTTTTTAAGAATATTTTCCAATTACTAGCAGACCAATGAATGTGGATTTTTAGGAATATTTTTCCAAGGACGAGACGGCCAATGAACGTGGATTTTTTAAGAATGGTTTTCAAATGACCTGGATTTTTTAAGAATATTTTTCCAAGGACTAGCAGACCAATAAACATGAATTTTTGAACAATACTTTTCAAAGAAACTGGATATTTTAAGAATAGTTTTTCAAATGACCAAAAGATGAATAAAAGTGGATTAAAAATATCCTATTCTGGATATCAAGATTTGTAAAGAATATTTTTTCAAAGGACCAAAAAACTAAAGAATATTTATTTTTCAAGAGCCGCTTTGTTGGACCTCGGAAATTGTTTATTTAGGTGCCAACAGACCAATAAACGTGGATTTTTTAGGATTTTTTTTTTTGAGAACCAACATACCAACTAGATAATTTTTCAAAGTACCAGTAGATAGATGGAGGTGTATTTTTATACCCTCCACCATACTATGGAGGGTATATTAATATTATCATTCCGTTTGTAACTCCTCGAAATACTCACGTCAGACCCAACAAAGTATATATATTCTTGATCAGCGTAAAATTCTAAGACGATTTAGCCATGTCCGTCTGTCTGTCTGTGTGTCTGTCTGTCTGTCCGTCTGTCTGTCTGTTGTAATCACGCTATCTTTCGAACAAATTGAGATAGAAGGCTAAAATTTTGCACACATGTTTATTTTGCCAGTAGGCAGGTTAAGTTCGTAAATGGGTCATGTAGGTCCAAGTTTTCATATAGCCCCCATATAACGGTACCTCTCGATATTCGGTATTTTGATTATTTTAGCGACATTATTCACCGGAATTGTTTCAAATTTGGCATTTGAAGTTCGTAATGGATACTATAGTCTAAGACAGAAAATTATCTGTGCAGGTCCACGTCTTCGTATAGCCCCCATATAACGGTACCCCCCGATATTCGGTATTTTGATGATTTTAGCGACATTATTTAATGGAACCGTTCCAAATTTGGTATTTGAAGTTCGTAACAGATACTGCAGCAGAAAACAGAAAATGGGCCATGTAGGTCCACGTCTTCGTATAGCCCCCATATACCGTACCCCCCGATATTCGGTATTTTGATGATTTTAGCGACATTATTTACCGGGATTGTTTTAAATTTCGTATTTGAAGTTCGTAATGGATACTTCAGCCCATGCCAGAAAATTGTCTGTGCAGGTTCACGTCTTCGTATAGCCCCCCATATAACGGCACTCCCTATATTCGGTATTTTGATGATATTAGCTACATTATAAATAGATTTTTCTTCAAGTTTCGCATTTAAATGTTGTAATAACTTATGACAAAAGTTGCCTATGCAGGTATACGTTGTCGTATAGACATTCGGTATTTTTAAGATTTTAACAGAATTTTTAAAGGATTTTTTTTATTTTATTTATTTATTTATTTTATTTTTTTTTGGAAATTGCCAAATTTGTACCAAATGGTGGAGGGAATTAAAAGTTCGGCCCGGCCGAACTTACAGCTTTTTTACTTGTTTAAAGATAATTTTGCATAGTGTCAGCAGATTTGTTGAAATATTTATGTCCGTCACATGGTCAATAATCCGTGTCCAATACGAATTAAGACGGATGCAGTAATTTGAACGTAGTTAAGCCCTGGTTTATCTGGGCTACCAATATTCACCACTTGTTAGATCTATGACAGTTCCTTGGTCTTTTGTTTTATACTGCATTAATTTATGACTTCAGCGATCTCCCAGGAGCCCTATAGGAGCTCCACAATGCACTTTTGTCTGAAGGATAGCAATTTAAGCCATACATTTCTGCATCCAACTTTACTTTTGTAGTTTCTTAGCAATTGAATTTGGTGTAGTGACCTCAACTTGTCACCAAACAATACAAATCAAATTTAAATCCGATTAAAGCAAGAAAATAAAATTAACCTTCTTATTTCCGTACAAATGACAAATCATTGCTGCTTGTTTTCATTTTTTTTAACAGCTGGAATTTATTAACCCTGTTTTGTTAACCAACAAAAAAGCCTCTCAAATCCCAATGAATCAATCATGTTGAAAAAATGAGAGTACTTGGCACTCTTCACGGGACCTCAATTGACGTTGATTCAAGTTGAATTACTTAATTACGTATACAAGACATATGTACATCTTTTTTCAACGTAGTTTTGTATTTTCAACAGAAAGTGTGTGTGTTTTTAGCAATTTTGCAGGTGTTGCAGCAAGAAAACTTGTATAACTGCTTTATTGATTTTAATATTTGTTAATATGGAGATTAGATCTTCGTATATAAATATACATACAGATGTACGAAAGTATTACGTATGCGATTCATACGTACAAGCCTAATCCAGGTTTATGGAGTGAATGTAATTGAAAACAGTAAGGAAATTAAAAAAAAGTAAGGCAATCCGTTCTGATACCCTACACAACTCAGCACCGCATAAGAAATATACGTTTGTATGGGTGATTTGGTGAAATTAGATCATACCAATAAGGATCGTTATGGAATACGATTCAAATTTGAATTAGAATATTCATACTAGAACTATATCTTAACCGGAATTGCCACAGAATTTGGATTTGATAATTTCTGGGAAGATCCAAACAGACATGTTAATTGTACAAACGAATCGCATATCATTAATATCTTATCAGAGGGAACTATATCTGAGTCTGAAGAGAGAGAAAACCAGTAAGAAAAAGTCAAAAGTCGGGCGGGGCCGAATTTATGATACCCTACACCACTATGCATATTAAGTAGAGCTCCAGTTACAAAATAATTTATTTGAATTAGATCATAACACCTATCAAAATCAGGCTTTTGAGCAGTTATAGTTTGGTTTCAGGGGATATATATATATGGGAATATATGGGAAGCATATCCAATTCTGAATCGATTTTCACTAAACTTGACAGAGACATTTTTATCTTTTATACTAAATAACATAGATATAGAGTGCATGATATCACTTCGAAAGGATTATATTGAAAACATATATTTCGGAGCCGAGTTCCACCAAATGGAAATGTACGTTCCGAAATTCACTCAATTTGGGCTGATTTTAGACATTATTTGCACAACAAACCTGAAATTGGATTAAGAATATATATGGGAACTATGCCCAAATCTTAGCCATATTACGAATGTGGGTGACTTAAGGACTAAATCGGATGAAACATATATTTGGGAGCTAAAGCTATATCTGAACCAATTTTCACCAAACTTGAGGTACTTGCTTCTAGACTGAATTCGGTGGGATGTGCCAAAATGCAGATCATTTGGACTGATCTTGGCTATTTGGTGCACAATTAATCCGAAATCGGTTGAAGATATATATGGGAGCTATATCCAAATCTGAACCGTTCTTGATAAAATTTGGCAGAAGTATTTCTGGGCTGTATCTGATATCTGATACCAAATATCATTGTTGTCGAATGCATATTACGGATGTGAGGAACTTTAACACCAAATAGGATGAAACATATATATGGAAGCTATAGCTATATCTGAACCGATTTTCAGCAAAATTTGATGTACTTGCTTCTAGACTGTATTCGGTCTGATGTACCACAATTCAGGTCATTTGTACTGATGTTGGATATTTGGTGCACAATTAACCCGAAATCAGTTCGAGATATATATGGGAGCTATATTCAAATCTGAACCGATCTTGATAAAATTTGGCAGAGGTATTTCTGGGCAGTATCTGCTATCTGGTACCAAATATTATTGTTGTCGAATGCATATTACGAATGTGAGAGACTTAAACACCAATTCGGATGAAACATACATATGGAAGCTTTAGCTATATCTGAACCGATTTTCTCCAAATTTGATGTACTTGCTTCCAGACTTAATTCGGTGGGATGTACCAAAATTCGGGTGATTTGGACTAATATTGGCCATTTGGTGCATAAATAACCTGAAATCGGTTGAAGATATATGGGAGCTATATTTAAATTTGAATCGATTCTCATCAATTTCAATAGGGTTCATCCTTGGGGAAAACAAATATTGTTTGGAAAATTTCATCTCAATCGGATTATAAATGCGACCTGCATTTTGTTCACAATAATGCATTAACAGACAAGTTGACATGCATAAATCGTCTCAGAAAGTGATTCTATGAAGATCCTCAAATGTAACTATGGGTATATCTCGCTTCCTTCTATATGTTACAAACAAATGCACAAAAGCACCACTATGAATGGTGTAGGGTATAACAATTCTAAAAAATCCATGATTTCATTACTATTTCCGGAAAAAAAATTTAAAAAATGTTAAACAACTAAAAATACGCAACTACGTGGAAAATTAAAAAAAAATGTAAAAAAATATTTTTTTATAAATTAAAAAATATTTTGAAAAATATTTCAAGATTATACGATTCTGTAAAAATATATTAATTCTGGAACAGATGATTAAATAACACTGTACAACAAAACTCATTAATTACGAGGCAAATGCAGAAGATAATGAAAGTAGAGCAAAAACAAGTAAAAAAGCCGTGCCGAACTTTAACTACTCCCACCATTTTGAATAATGTAGCTAAAATCATCAAAATGCCGAATATAGGGAGGTAACATTATATGGGGGCTATACCAAAACGTGGACCTGCATAGACAATTATTCGCCAACGGAGTTACAACCCATTATGACCAACAAATACCAATTTTTAGACAAATCCAAAAAAAAAAAAGGTGGCAAAAATCATCAAAATACCGAATATCGGGAGGTGCCGTTATATGGGGGCTATAACAATACGTAGGCTTATACATACAACGTTTCGCCACACGAGCTAGAACCTATTATGACCTACACATTTTAGACAAATGTGCCAAAAATCATGAAAATACCTAATATCGTTCTGCCAAAATTTTGACGTTCTAAGTTAAATAATGTGGGCTGCATCGTGATTTCAACAGATCAACTTAGAATTGTATGCTGGTTATGAATATATATGCTTTATGGGGTCTACGACAAATATTTAGGGATGTTACAAACAGAATGACAAAGTTTATATCCACGGTTGAGGGTATGAAAAACACCGTTTAAAAAAATTCAAATAATCCACAATTTTACAAAAAATAAACAAATCCGCGACATTATAATTTTTCTTTTTTAAATGACGCGATTTCTTGAAAAAAATATTATGAAATCCACGATTTCTTAACAAATTGTAACATACAATTCGAGATTTCTTAAATTAAAGTATGAATTTTACGTTTTTAAAAAATATATAAATTCTAAGATTTAAAAAAAAAATATATTAAAAAATCAACAATTGTGCACAAAATATTTAATTAACTCACGATTTAACAAATCTTTCTGAAAGAATTCCCTCATGAAAAAAAATTATTTAAACATATCTTAAACAACATTTGAGAAATGTACGATTCTTTAAAAATAATTTAAGAAATGTATGATTATTTAGTAAAAATGATGCAAAGAATTCTTAAAAAAAAAAACAAAATTAACAAATCAACAATTTCTTAAAAAATCTACCAAAGATTTTTTTTTTTTTGTTTTTAAAAAATATAGAATGACATATCCGTTGTTTTCTTTTAGCTTTTTTTTAAATTCACGATTGTAGATATGATTGTGTAGTGTGCCATACTGTCAAACCGTTTGGCGGAAATCATCCCCTTTGAATCCAAAACATTTTAGTCATAGGCACATTAGAATTTTGCATTAATTTTCAATTTGTAAATCAAATGCATTTCCCCCACAAAAACAATATGACTCACAACTGTCTAACGACTAGCTCTCAGGTTAATTCAATGCAAGATAAATTCTAGTTAAGTATGAATGTATCTTTATATCTCTTATTATTAGTCATAGTTGTTTACTTTTGTTCTAATTTCAAGGTCGATAATTTCAATTATGGCCCCTATAACCTACAAAGTAGTTATTGAGTTTTGTGCAAACAAATTTAATTATCTGTTTATTTATAATTTGAGATAGGAGAATTTTTGTTATTTAAAGAACAAAAATAAAATTAGATAAGGTGAATTGTGCATGGTATCAGAAGAAATCGTATGTCATAACTACATCTCATACGATTGTGGGCGGTGGGGGGAAGGGATTTAAATCTTAATAATCATTGTGGGTAACAAGTTTATTTGGCATTGCTATTGTTTATTGTCATTTTGCAGGAATTAACATTTCCGTGTGCTGTCAGTTCTCAAAATCGCTTTATGTCAATATTTGCAAAACTCAGCAAATGCTTTAGATAAACAATTCCATTCAATTAATTGTTTATATACTGTTGTGTAATTTTTTCTTCTTCTTTTATTGTTTAACTCTTTTTTGTTTTTGTTCTTTTTTTCATTTCTTATTATCTTGGATAATTTGTGACATAAAATACATATTTATAAATAGGTATATATAGTATATAATAATACGTTTATGAAAAAAGGGGTTCAATGTACTTTGGGTTATAGTACTGCAGCAACTGCTACCAGCCAGCTAACCAGGAAGGCAGACAGGCGGCCGGGCGAATGATAACTGTCTTAATGCACTGAATAATGAATGAGTAGTCTTGCACGCTTTACTGATGACGGCGGCATCGGCGGTATGGGGGGTGTATAGTGGGGCAACACTACCACTACCCATTTAAGTTTTATCACTAAATTTGTGTACTGGAAAGAGGGCCGGATATACACATATCCTATAACTACAATCAAAATTGGTGTTCATCTTCTTTTTTTGTTTGGCTTAGACAAATCTAAAAGTATTTGTGTTATGCACGTTTTTATTTTTCTGCTCATGGCTGTTGTTTTTGTATTATCACTTTAACATAGCCTCTAGTATTGCAATCAGACTCTCCAAACCGAATAGATAATTCATATCCAATGAATTATTTGCAGACGGAAATACATGTGCGAAATCAATCATTTTAACCTTAACGTAACGCTCAAGACACCTGCATGTGTTGAGGCTTTCATTTTCAAATGATGGAATTGCTTTGTGGGTTGGTGAGGTGGGGTAACAGCTATCGACATCATCCAAATTATCTACAACTTCACAAATGTGCAAGCCATTGCCATTTGGTATGTAGTGTTGTTGTTGTTGTTTTGATTTTTGGCATGCTGTGCACTTTTCATTTTGCAGTCTTTTTTGTAAAGCCACATAGTCATAGGCTATTAGTAGAGAGCTGGCATAGAAATGGAAGTGTTTTTGTTCCCGGAACCAGGCACGTATGTCATACAGCTGGCGCAGCAATTCTTCAATCAAGGCTTCACAGAGCATCTCTTGGGCATTTAGGAATAGACGCAGAGCTTCGCCCAAACCCTCGGCATCTAGTTTCTTACCATAATCTCTGTCGAACTTTTTGTAGCCATTTTCTGTATAGACTTGGAAACCTGGTAGACAAATGCCCAAAACTTGTTTACAACGGGCATACTTCTCCTCCTCCACCTTGCATTTGTGCGGTGAGGCCAGTGGATCCCATGTCCTTTTGCCAACCTTTATGTCCATAATACATGGCTGTTGCATGCCATGCGTCAAATCCTCCAATTGGAAAAATGTATGATCCTTACCGTTGACCTCCAGTCTTATTTTCTTGTAAAATTTGGGTATAAAATTTTGCAACTTCTTTAGTTGAGGGTCATTGGTATTTTGTAGACTTTCGTAGAAACTCAACTCCCTTGCCCCACACTCGGGTTTGCCAAACGGTTTCAATACACAGCCGATTGTCTCGTCCTTAAGCATGCCCAAGGCAGCTGTGTTGTTGGTGAACAAATGGCCCGCCACTTGTGTTTCCAGGACACAAATTCCCTTAGGCAACTGTGGTTGGTTTTGGTTCATTGTCAGTTTGTTGCGTGGGGGGCGAGGCGGGGGTATATTACAACTGACCCGTACCACAAAGTGACGAAATACGTAGAGCACTGTTTTTTTTCTTTTAATACTTTATTCCGTTAAAAGTGCAATGATTCACAAACACACCATGCGCTGCCGAATTGTATTTGTTTTTTCGTGTTGTGTATTAGCGGGCGATTAGGGAGCTACAGATCGACTTTGGAGCTCTCGCAATGAGTTAGTGTTATCGATAACAGCAATGTGTTTGATAACTGAAGGCAGAGGAAATTGTTGCTGTGTAGCTGCACAAGTTGTTCACTGAGTTAGTGGGGAACGTAACGTAGACTTTAAACGCTGAATTTAACGTTGATTTATCTTTGATAGAGATAGAGGGAAAGAAGGAGATATGCAAACAAACTATATTAGCGGGATCTTTAGGTCGACTTTGGACCACTCCGAATGAGGGGATATGTATGATAACCGAAATGTGGTCGATAACGTAAGCCAACGGAAATTGTTGCTGCCGCTGCTGCATCAGTGTGGTAACCTAGTTAGTGCGGCACGTCACGTATGCATAACAGCACTGTAGAAAGATGAATTAAATAGACCGTTGAATTGTAAGCCAAAATCAAATCAAATTGCCTATAAAATGAAAAGTTCAAATTGAAATTACTAAAATAATTTAAAAACAATTTATTTAGATAAGAATTCAGATTTTTGGTAGCTGTCTTCTGTCATATCTAATGCTATGTTTACATTAAGGTCAAGACAGAATCAATGCTTTAGTTCGAGACATAACCAATGTTTAAAAATAAACGTTTGATAGCGTGACCAGTCACTTCGAAAACAATGCCTTATAAAATTTGGATTCTGTATCGGTTTTCCCAACATTCAGAAAAAAAAGTGTTTTGCTCTGCTCCAGAACGTGCAAAAATCTACTAGTTTTACAATTTTATTCGATACCATAAAAGGGAAAATCGGTTAGCGTAGTAAAAAAGCTTTGCATTCCTGCTGATCTGGAACAGACCACATGTAAAATATTTCTAAACACCTAAAAATTTCCCTCTCTGTTGTAAAAATTAAGCTTTCCAACACTTTTATTCTGTTGTCTCCTCCAAAATAATATTTGTAAACAAATTATTTTCTGCAATTTCCAAATCTTTCTTCCAATATCTTTGTAAACAAATTCCACTCGTAATGCAAAAATTAAAGAATGAATGGGAAAAGGCATCTTTACTACGGCCAACTGATAATATTTTATCTCACGTGATGTTGAAAAATCCGAGGATCTTTCAACCATCCTATGAAATTCAGGTATGAACAAAAAATATTTGTAATAAAAGTTCTTAAACAGAATATCTTCCCTCAGAACAGTCCGGTTAATATGAATTTACTTTTGAGCATGGAATATGCCCGTATTTGGTTGAAGGAGAAAAACGATTTTCTAAAAGATCGTGCCAAAAAGGCAAAACCAAAATTCATCAAAAATGACTACTGGAAATGGATTGAAAAACGTCAACCGAAAGCTTATAAAAGCTGTGAGGCCCAGGGTTTGAAGAATCTCAATATAAAAGGGAGAAGTTAAAGGTGGTTTACATATAATAAATCGAGTGGATTTCAACTATCATTTTCATAGCGTACATGTCAAATGAAATCTACTGGATTTGAGATGCAATTTCATTCGCGTATACGCAATGGAATTGACAGTTGAAATCCATTTGATTTTTGAAGTGTACACGTATTTGTAGCGGCAAAAGAGATTAACTTCTTTTACGAGATTTTATTTAATTTTACGAGAATTTAATGTCTTTAAGGAGAGTATGTGTCAAATAAATGACAATTAAAGCGTGTTTACATAAAATGAATCTAGTGGATTTCAACTGTCAATTTCACGTAGTATACGTCACATATTAGCTGATGTATACGCAGTGGAATTAAAAGTTAAAATCCACGCGATTTATTATATGTTTAAAACATTGAAAGTAGTTAATGAACAGAATATAAATGTATTTAAAAGTGACACCAAAATAATGCAAGTTATATTCTCCGATTTGTTGCTGGATGATTACTGCGATGGCGCGACTCCTTTAGCTTGCATTAAACTCACTACCAGAAAAGTAACACATATTGATGAAAAATAAATAGTTTTTACATTTGGGCGCCACTTAGCACTCGATATTCTAAAAAAAAACCTTTGAGGATGTATGCTAGATAGGATAATATGAATTTGAGCAAGACTTGCGTTAAAACAGCAATAAAGTTAAAGTAGTTTATACATTTGGGCGCCACTTTATTATAAATAATAAATAAGTTTTCAGTACATTTGGGCGCCACTTACCACCCGATATACTAAAAACCTTTGAAAGTATATGTTACTTGGGATAATATGAATATGAGCGAGGCTTACGTCAAGAGCAACAACTAAGTTTAAGTCGTGTATACATTTGGGCGCCGCTTTAATATCTGCAAAAAATCTTTATGGATGGAAATTATTTAAAAAAATGGGTTTAGATTAAGAAAAAAGTTTGTACATTTGACTGCCACTTGCCACTCGATTTTCTAAAAACCTTGGAGGATATATGCTACTTGGGATAATATGAATTTGAGCAAGACTTACGTCAAAAGTAACAATTCAGTTGAGAAGGTTTGTTGATAGAAATATTAAAGTGTGCCAAATATGAATGGAATCGGATGTTAATTTTGCGTTTTATGAGCTTCATGGATATTCAAAATTCTGACCCCGTTTTTGGTAGTACCAGCCTATTAATTCCATCTTCACACCAGATCTTGGGTTAATAAAAATATTGTGATGCGTGTAATTTGAAGATAATCGGGCTGATACATCACGTTTTATAAGAGGTAGAATTATTCCGAATTTTGACCCTTTGTGGGGGAGGTACCAGGAGAAAATGTCCGATCTCTACCATATTTATAACCGACCTTGTGTTGATAGAAATATTGAGATGTGCCAGATCTGAATGGAATCGGACGTTAATTTCGCGTTTTATGAACTTCATGAATATTCAGAATTTGGGTCCTTTGTGGGGTAGGTACCGGAAGGAGTGGACCGATATATTCTATCCTCACACCAGACCTTGGGTTAAAAAAAAAAAATATAGTGATATGTTTTAATTTGAACACAATCTGACATTTACATCACAATTTATAAGAACAATAATTACTCAAAATTCTTACTCTTTGTGGGGAGGTACTTGTTGAAGCAGCCCGATATTGTCCATTTTCACACCTGACCTACAAAGCTGGAGCAAGATCGGATTGTCCCTTCTCTCCCAGTGCAATAAAATATTATTTTTTAAATTTCGACCGAACTCCATCTAGGTTTGACAATAATATTACCAAGTTTGCTCCTTTCGAGAGTTATGGTGCGCACAAGCCAGACAGACACACAGACGGACGGACATCGCTAGATCGACTTCAATGTCCTGAAACGGATTTGGTCCAAAGAGACCTAGGATCTAAAACCGTTATTTCGATAAGGCACTTTTGGAACATAACAAATGATACTCTCAGTAGCCATTTGGTTGAGGGTATAAAAATCGAAGCGGTTCCTGAGAAAGGCGTCGCTGAGGCTAGGCCGATTGGAAAATTTTCCGTTGCATCTTATCTTTCCCTAAAAAAATATTTACAAGACTTTGGGCAAGGGTAGGGGATATATGAGAATATTTGACGAAACAAAAAAGTCTCCAAGTTCAAGGTATCTTCGCAAAATTAATGTCTTTTCTAAGGCTCTTTGACTATCCTTTATTTAACTCGTCAATTTTATTATTAAAAATATAAATTTTTTATGTCACTGCAGTGTTAATTTTTGCCTTCTGAACTCCAAAATCTCTACAGCAATTTATTCACACCCTGAGCCTTGCAATAGAAATTATCCTTGGGTTTGCGTTTTTCCAACCACTTCTTGTAATCGTTTTTAATGTGCTTCGGTTTGTTGCGATCTTCACGGGCTTTATAGAATTCATCGCGTTCCTTGGTCCACTGGCGAGCATATTCCCAGCCCAGTAGCCAGCTCATCGATGGAGGACAATCCTAGAAAAGAGAGAAAAATGAATTACTACATAATTTGAAAATAGAGAAAATAGAGCACAGCTTCAAAAAGAGAAAAAATCATGTGATCGATGAGAGAAGATAAAGTCCAATACTGAATCAACACTTGGGCGCCACAAAATTGTTGTGACTTGTAAAATTTCAACTAATTTAAAATCCAGGCTGTTAAATAGATCGAAGCTCAGCTTGGGCGCCATTATGGTGGTTTGTTATTAACTTGTAACCAAACTCCAGTGTTAAAGGTTTGGACACATAAGCATCTCGACGTCTTCGCATGGCATATTTTGAGACTTTATTATAAAGGGATGTCAGATCCGCACTCGAATCATGCCGTCGTTTTCCCTTATAATATGGCATTAATATTCCTGACCATGTATCCACACCTTAAGGTGACGGTACATAAGCAGCAGCATCATGGCTAGGCATATTAATGTCTAATTATAACTGGAAACGACCGCAATATTCGAGTGCGGATCTCTGGCATCCCTTTATGATATGTCACAAAATATTCCATGCGAAGACTTCAAGCTGGTGTAAATTTTTTGTCTTAAGTTCTGTTCCCTGGTTTGACTTACATCATTTTCAAACGACGGTTTAAATTTGATTTTTTCATCGATAAACACATGCGATTTGAGATTATTGCGTGGACGCTTGAGATACGATTTCGACCATTCCGGTATAACATTGGCCATTATTTTTTTTGATGTTTTTTCTTCAATTTTTATTTCAAATTTAAAAAAAAATAATATTAACTCCATTCAAAATTTAAAAAAAATGTCACCCTTCCCCCAAAATGCAGGGCCTTCCAACAAGAAGTGTTGTTTTTTGAAGTAACCGGTACTTCGGTAGCGGCATTCTATTTTAACGTGGTTGCCGGCTTCTGATTCGCCCATATGTTGATTTTTAAGGATCGCCACATAGTATTAATATTAGGAGAGGCAAAGTAGTTCTCTCAAGGCTATTCTCACACTACTCTCTTCTACTGGTTTTATCATCAAAAAAGTACGGAAACACATCATATATTCAGGAGACTAAAATGGCTATAAAGGTCAAAGGATGGTGTACTTTTTATAAATACTAGCAAGTGCCCTCTACCTCGTCAGTGTTCCGAAACCAAGGCCTTTTATCTTTTATCTCAATTCCA